TGCAACCCATAATTGAATATTACCAACAAACTTAAAAAAAAAATGGATTAAATAATATATTAATATTTGAATCGTTGGAGGATTATTTAATTTTTATCTTTAGAAATTAAACTTTTAAACCCTATTATATATAAATTTATTCCATTAGTTACCCACTTTAATAAATAAATGATAATTTCAAAATATGACTTAAAATTTAAAAATATTTATAAAAGTAAACAACTATAATAGGAGTATATTGTATGAACATAGTGATTGAGTTATGATATGTTGATATTAATTAAATTTACAATAAAATATTAAAAAAGTCAAATAGTGGCTCCTTTCTAGAATCTATCTTTCTCAGGGTGGCCAACTATTCCGCTGGAATTAAGACAAAAAAAAATTAATAATAAAAATGGGGACCCACCACAACTATGCAAACTGGTCGGCGTCTACATCACTGTCGGTAAGATTATCGTTTCCCATTTCTAAAGTCCCCAAAGACGTCACTGATTACGTCACCGAACAAATCCACTACCCATCTCAATGGATTTAAAACTCGCGGATCCAAGATCCTTATACGGGCCGGGTGAAACCGACCCGTCGTCGTCTTCGAAAAATCGCCCGATTCCCCTCCGCCGCCTCCACTGTCGGTAACTAGCGAACCCGAGAATCATCACCGCGATTCCAACGATTCCGGCCAGAATTCCGAGTCCGATCTCGAGACCCACCTTTAATTTGGCTCTCGAAGGAGCTTGCCGGACCTTGAAGTATCCAGTTTTTGTTCCATCGGCCACCGCCACCACCGTTCGGACCGGGTAGTCGACCAGATAACAGAACCCGGTCGCGTTGTAGTAGAGCGAACCCCAGCAGGAGCAATTTGTTTCACAAAAGCTCTCGCACTGGTCCTTGGTGAACCCGGTTCGGTAGCTCATTAACTCTTTGAACGGTAATTCCACTCCGCTCCTTCTCATAACCCAGAAATCTTTTTTTGCAACCCCACTTCCGCAAAAGTCGCCGGAATCCGCCGGAATACATTGGCCAGAGGTGTAAACCGTCCGATTGTTCAGACATGAGCAGCCGGCACCGGGTTCGCACAAACCGTATGAACCGCAGGGACTCGGAAGCTCACACTGCTCCGATATTGCTTCGTAAACCAAATCCCATTTGGAACCTGTTCAAAAATTAAATATATTTGTTAATTTTGTTTTTTTTTTTTAATTTTTAAAACTAATTTCATGAACGGTCCAGTAATATTTTAAAAATAAAATAAAATAACGAATGTTGTATAATTTAGCCTGATTTTGATGTAAACTAACGGGAAGAAAGCTTTTGAAATGGATTTTGACGAACCTTCCCAGTAGAAGCCTCTGAGATTGCCGTCGGTATCCAGCCGGAGTCGGAGGAACCCATTCGCCGGTTTCTGAAAAGTATTGAAGGCTTGCAAATCGACCGGAACGCTGCCGTTTTGATACATACCGAGATACCCATCGGAGTGTAGCTGGAGATGAATCGGTCCACCGCCGGGAATTACCTGAGCTTTTGCTTGCAATGCTCTGTGTCTATAATAAATTTGGCTCCTCCCTTCGTTAAACTCTGCATACAGTCCAATAAAATCGGCCCCCAATCGGGCCGAATACGCTCTATTCGAAGAAATCAACACCATTTCCGAGCTGAAATTCTGATTCTCCACCAGGGTATCTGCCGGAAAGTCAAAACTCTGCCACAGAACCACCGGCGGATCACGGGCGAGCTGAATTTGTAAATTCGACGAGTTCAGGAGCACGGCCCGGTCTCCGGCGGTATCAGTTGACCAAACTACCCTCCCATCCGCATCGGAAAGTACAAAACCGCCATCAAACCGGAGCAGAGCCCGGTCGGTCCAGGCCGGCAAGGTTGTAAGATTAACGGTCCAGATTGTCTCCGACGACGCCACGTGGAGAATCACGACGGCAAGCTGAGTTTCCTGAACTCGGAGGAAACCCAGAGAGAAGTTTCCGGTTGGATCGTTTAAGAGAGGCTGAAACGACCGGACCACCATGTCCGGCGAGGCTCTGAATCCGCGGGCGAGTTCCTGCCGAGTCGCGGCCGTAGATACCGAAATGAGAAAGTGGAAAAGAGTGATAAAAACAAGCGCCGAAACGGCACGTGAGTGAGTCGCCGCCGAGTTGGTGATCAGTCCGCACATATTTGCGACGGAACAGAAGCACAGAAACACGGCGGAAAAGAAAGTCAAGAGTTGGGCATTAAAAGGGAGTTAGCAAAGGGGCAGTAAGGGAAGATATATACAAATCCAAATCAAGCCCAGTGGATGATCTGAAAGCACGATGAACCAAAAAAGGCAAAATTATATGATATTATAATATTCCCAGCTTCAAAATCTACAATCTTTATGAAAATGTTTTTTCTTTCTTTACGCACTACGAAAATATAATTAAAAAGGTGGTGGAAATGTACCAAAGTTGAAATCTTGTGCTCAGTGTGAGTGCCATATACTGTTCCGTGCAAAGCCCCCACTTCCGAAAATGTACCATTAATTTTCTTGTGTGTATTCTACTGTGTCTAATGTCATATTGATCATATAAATAAATTTCGTGGATGAGATGATATAAACTAAGATATTTCAATCGTGCAATATGAAATTTAAAAAATATTTTTATGGTTACAAAATTTGGATGGAGGATAATGTTTAATGTTATATTTACATGGTGGCTAATTAAGACTCTAAAGTATACAGGGTGACTATTTATTATGGTCGTAAATTAGGAAGGTTACCACTCTTGAAATGACTTAGGAAAAATTAATGATTTTCATTTTGAAGCTATATAAAACTAGGTAGGCTGTCTTTGTAAAGTGTACTTAGAAAATGTAGTAAAAAGAGAATGTGTGCCTTCTTTTACTCAATGACTATTTATTTGTCGTTCTATGCAGTTTAGATTGTATGTTTAGAATCATTCAAATTTGACGTGATCGATCTTACTTGTGGAGTGATTTAAATCTAAAAAGAGTGTTATCACCCTTAGATATTCGATCGATAAGTTAATCTGAATCTTACTTTCCCCTAAAGCTCCCCCTGTCATCTGATAAAATTATTGATCAAACATCTTGAATTTATGAGCTGTTTTGGTAGATAAATGTGGATAAAATGTCGGGTAATGGTTGGTTGTGAAACCACGGAGAGTAAACGAAAGAAGTCAAACCAAAATTAAATGCAATGTCAAACCCCATTTCTTCAATGTCATAACTACCCAAAAGGGAAAAGATGGGTGAAGGGTTGGTGCCCAGTCCAACTATTGACTCGTGATCCATGGCCGCCAACTGGTTGTCTCTCTAATTTCAAGATTGCCATTATTTTATTAAATTATTGGTCCAAAAAATAACGATGGGGATTTAATTATGGAGTTATTTTAATGCACAGTTGACCTAAATAAAGGACGTGCGCCTGATCCTCTCTCATTTATTCACATTTTTTAAATGTCCATATGGTTGACTTCAAAATTATTATTATTTTTATTTTTTAAGAAATTATTTGAAAGTTATTTTTATCGATGAATTTAAATATCTGAGTATTTGACATATTCTATGGTGATGCATAACACGTTTTTGTTCTCTATAAATAACATATCACTCATATTTGGTCGACCGTGCTACTTTAATTTAACAGAGAGTTATGACTCCAAAATAACTAAGAATTTAATCAACAGTCATGAGATTGAAATGAAAATTAATAATTTTAAATTTAAGATAAATCATGGTATAAGACTATTGTTCATTTATTTTGCGTAGGCCCATGTCGGGATCTTTAAAGGCCCAAACGTAAGACCATTGTTGGGCCTAAGATTATTGTCGGGCCTAAGACTATTGAAGCTGCAGGGTATAGTGGGCTTTTTATTCTGGTTTCAGCCCAGTCCAAATTCCCTCAATACAATCAATAGAAATTGTCGTATGACTCAAAATCATTAAATTTTCTCGACTCAAAAGAATATTAGGAATTAGTGAAGCCCATAATAAATAATATTAAATGTTTTTTTTTTATTTTTTATTAGTGGCCAAATTCACAAAATTCATATAATTTAAACTGAAAATATCAAAAGAATCTCACTTTTTCAAAAAGCCTTTTTTTTCTTTCATTCTTCGAGACCCACTCTAGCCTCTTCTTTTGCCTTTGGTATCTGATACCAAATTTTAATTAAATGAAATTATATATATATGAATGAAGGGTTCATAAATATATATATTTTTTAATGATATTTTTAAAACACGACAGGATATTTTTATTTTTGTAAAGTTTTATTGAAGATTTTAAAATAATATAAAGGTGATAATATGTTGGTATATATATTTAAGCATAAAATGAATAGAAATATCATTTGGAACCAATTACCAATGCAAGAAAATGGATGGTATGCATGCATGAATATGATGGCATCACCTTCTCCTTCTTCCAGTAACTTTTGTCAGAAAGACCTTTAAATTAATTAAACAGCTCCAGTAATAATAATAATAAATAAATAAATAAATAATAACAATAATAAAAAATCAAATTCCGATTGTGGCAATAAACTGTTTCAAATTTGGTTGTCACGTGCGAACTCTGAGAACAAAATAAATAAATAAATAAATAAATAATAAAATAAGAGAGAGAAAGGTTGAATGATTTTGGATATGGCTGACAGCTGTTCTCCTCCTCCATGCCGCAGTCCTAAGCTTTGACTTCTTCAACAACTTTTCAATTTTATTTTATTTTTCTCCTTTATTTTATTATTTTTTAAAATATGATTTCAAGTAAGTGAATATATGTCAATTATTTAAAATTGAAATGCGTAGATGAAGCAATAATAGTAATATTATTATTGTTATAATTAAAAAAGGAAGAAGGTTAAATTACATACCTAAAATGATGAACTTTATTGGGAAATTATAATTATATTTTTGGTCAACAGATATAAATTTAGGGATAGAATTTGTAATGTTATTAATTAATTTATAAGAAACAAATAAATAATAGAGATAGAAAAAAAGGAAAGGAATTAAAGTGGGCATTGGTATTTGTAAGAATGGTGGCATTTTATAACCCCAGAACTGCTTTGTTTGGGTGTCTCCATGTGACTTGAAAACAGCAACAAACACACACACACACACACACACACACACACACACTCTCTCGCTCTATTGAGAAGCTTAGAAAATGAACCAGAGCTCCCATGGCTTCTTCTTCTTTTTCTTCTCTTTTCTCTTCATTTTCCTTCTCTTTTCCCAATCAACCTCTGCCCGATTCCCAGCAGCCAAACAAGGTAAGACCCACATACAAAAATTCTTCCTTTCTCTCTCTCTCTCTCTCTCTATTTGATTTTCCCGGAAAATTTGCAGGTCTAGGGGAAACCCACGAGAAGCTCACCCATGGAGTGGTTCAAGCAGATTCATGGGCAGATTTCCCCCATGTAAATAAACAGTCTTAATTAATTTACTTATTGTTGTGCTACCAAGTTTGTTCTTTGGATTTTAATGGCTTCTGATTTTGTTTTAAAGATCATAGGAGGAAGGGAGAAGGGAGAAGAAGAAGAAGAAGAAGGATGGGAGAAGAGGAAGATGATGTTAGAAGCGCACTTGGATTATGTTTACACACAGAATGTGAAGCATTGAATCAAATAGTAATTTAAAGATATACTACAGGAGTTGTTTTTATTATTTTATTATATGATATAAACTATTATTTACATAATTATGGTTATTTTATATCCCAACTTCAAAAAATATAAATTTACGTCCGTTTATAAGACATCACTTATCAGAATCGAGACACTAATTTAGCTTTTAAACTTTTAAAATGATAGATACACACTTTTTTACACCATAATAGCCATATTATTATTTGATTATATTTTTTGTTACTCCTATTAAAAAAATAATAATAAGTGAAAAAATTAAAAGAAAAAGGAAACGAATCTTAGTCAACGAAGCTACAATAATGACGAAAAAAAGGTACGAATTTTTTTGGGATAAGAGATGGGACAGAAATGATGTTGTTGTTGGGACATAAAGAATAGCAAACAAAACAATATAGGAAAAGTAAGATTAATAAGATTTATTGTAGCTCCTCCTTTCCATGTGAACGCCATACGCCAATAATCAACAATTATTATTTCCAACCCCTCAAATTAGAGATGATTATTGAAGACATTAGAACTACTTTTCATCCCTATAAATAAATGAGTTTGTATGTTGTAGATAAGAAATGAATCTAAACAGTACAAACATATCAACTTTTACCTTTGCTTCATCTAAATCCCTTCAAATTCAAAGTACCGTCACAAGCTTGTGTGAGAGAAAAAATGAAATATTCCTCAAAAGTGTAAAAACCTGTCCCTAGTAGACACGTTTTTAAGATCGTGAGGTTAAGAGCGATATGTAACAAATCAAAGCACACAATATCTACTAGCAGTGTGTTTGGATTGCTACATTTTCCCGTCTGCCTACATTGGAGTCAAATCACTTGTTTGTCTTCTTTTCAAGACTCTAATGACCATCCCTAACAGAAAATAATTCCGCAGTTCATGATGTTGAAGACAATTATTGCGATAAATCTGCAAATAAGTATCACAATATCTGCCATGCCAAGCTTGTCTAATCAGCCAAACAAGGTGGGGACTGGGGGCAAATGATATAGGCAACAAGAAGCAAAATCCAACATCATTATAATCGTATCCAGACCAGCAAGACAAGTGAACAACCCTTCTCAAAAGCTGAGAGAATCTTAAACAACTCTCCTTTACTGTCTAAATTACAAGGAAAAAAGAAAATGATGGTGAATCAAAACCACTTCGCTAGTATGACGACTTCGATGATACGAAGGGTTTGTTGATAGAGGCGCCAAGTGGCTAGGACTTGGATTGCTCTGCCTCATATTTATATCAAACATATATTGATGTTAAGTGAAAATTCACTGAGAATCAAGACGGTAAAGATCTGAATGAAAAAGCTCATTGCATTGATGTATTCTCAACTATATATCTTTAGAAGAAAAACAAAAACAAAAAGGAATCTGGAAACTAGAAAATACCAGTATTAGAGCTACCACTCCCTATAATCTCTTGCTCAACCAATCTAACCACGAGCGAAGCACTCATATCCATACTTCCTTTCCGCAACCCCATGCCAATTGCACGAGCAGGATGCCCCCAGAGTAGTTCCAGTATTACGTTTTGCAAGGAAGCATCATACATCCATTTCCTGTAGGTTGGACATAATGCAAATAAGCTTATATTAACACTCAAATTTTAAATCACGACAATGCATGAAACCTCCCGCGCAGCATCGATACAGATTGAGCATACTTTCAGTGTGCAGTGGAAGTCATGACAAGATGTATTAACGCCAGTAGGCACAATAACATGCATCTAAAGTGTCTGCTTTATAGGTCCTAAATATCAGTAAAAGGAGCTTACTATGGAGGACTAAAGGAAGAAAACGATTATGATTTAGGTGTTCCATAATTAATTCAAGTAATGACGAGTAACATCCCAAATAATGGGGAAATAATACTTGATTCTACCAAACCAATTCATAGAATAGGGCTCTATCTTTTCCTTGCTTTACCAGTCCAATGCTATAGGGGAATTCAGTACAAAACATAATTTTTCTAACATTCCAAGTCAGTCCATCGTTCCATAGAAGAACAGGAAGGGGAAAAAAAGAGTCTAGGAACAGCACATAAAAAAATCAGGGAGACCAATGAATGATAGTGAAACCAAATCAAGTGATGCAAAAGTGTAAAGATCCAGGAACATTACCATCTTAATATCAGTTGCCAGTCCCAACTCGTGTATTGAACTTTCAGTTAAGCAACTTATGTGCACAATGGGTCCTATAGCAACTCGTTCATTTGTGCTTCCTACCTCACTACCCACTGATGGGATTGTGATATGCATTGCTCCTTTGAACATCCACTTACCCAACTCTAGATTATAAAAATCTTCAAAAAGCTCACCACATAAAACACAGGCAAATTGATCTTCATCTGCTGGAACCATTGGCTCGTTATCTTCTTCCATCATGCTGGACTTGTCCAGAGAAGTGGCAACGTCAAGTAGAAGTCTAGCATTTCCAGATACCCAATCAACTGAACTTGGATACCATCTTCTTGGTGCCCTACATGAATTGTTTGACTCAGTTCTTGACATGTGCCACCACAAGTGCGTATCCAACTGTTCTTCACATTTCAGTCCAAGACCGCAGATCTTACATTGAAATGGAATATCGTCAAAGAGTCCACTGATCACAGATGGATGAAATTTGCGAATAACATGTGAACTAAACTCATAGCCTATGAGGTTGTTTATCTCAGTTGTGGCAGATGGAGGTGGAGTAGTGGAGCTCTTAGCAGCAGCTTTTGAAGGTGATTCAGGTCTTATAGATGATTGACTGGAAGAGGGAATAGGGATGGAAGGAACTGGTATAGAACAAGTCACAACATCACCTGACTTCAAATGTTCAGGCTGTGAAGGCATCTGGGATGTAACGTTACTTGCTAATTCTCCTTTAGAAGCACATATGAGGCCCTTTGCAACCAATGAGCTCAAAAGGTTAGAAATTGGACTAGAATCATCGTTTACCACATTTGAAGTTTCAATGGATGCACTATTCATAGTAGATGAAGGAGGAACTGGATCAGATGGCAACGGTGTGTCTTCTACCTTAATCTGAGATAACTTAACCAGCGTTGATGTGCTTTCAAGAGATGGAGGATCTAATGAAGATTCGCCCACAGTCTTTGGCTCTGAGAATGTAGACTGAGTATGGGCAGGAGAAGACTGACTTGGTAGAGGAGGGTTGCCGCTTGAACGGGGTTGCATATTTCCCACATCTTGGGAGCTGAAATTCTGTTGCATGCTACTGATTATTGAATGGTTGGACAAAATTCCACTTTTCATTATAGCAGCCAACAAACTACTAGTGCTTGGCTCTCCCAAAATTTCTGCAGGTAAGAGTTCTAGAACTGTCCCAGTCGATGAGGGCGGTCCAAAATCGGTGTCCGGAATTGATACTGCATGCTGACTAGAAAGTTCCGACTGTGTGACTTCAGGTTTCAGTGACCGGTGCCTGGTTTGAGAAGCAGGTATGGATGAAGCTGAAGCTTGTAGGTCCTGAGGCTGTGGTTTTTGAAGGTTATCTGGCCGAATGTTGGGATGCAGGCCAAGGGCAGCATCCCGTATATGCCTTCTACGTGGATCAAGATTAGGAAATGAAGTTTTATGGCTTTGTTTTTTATGAGCGACATGATCCACTAATGGTGAAGGGGGGCGCTGGTGCAAGGGTGGCTGTCCAGATGGTAATGCAACACTTTGTGATGGAAATCTTGGATGGCCTACAGTCCCAAGGGACCCTGAACCTCCTTTATTCAGAAACCCATGTCCTGAAGCTCCAATATTAGATGATGTGATCTGTGATCGTCCTCCCATTTGATCCACAGAAGAGTTAGCACCTGACATTGCGGTTAGAGTGGCACCAATACCTCCTGATTGAGCTGAATTCTTTCTAGGAACCCTGCCTCTCAGGCCATCCAGAGATATTGCCTCCTGGAACTGCCACATTGATGACCTCTGCTGTCCAGAATCCCCTAGTTCTCTCTTCTCAGATGATTGTGAATCAAAGGAAGCTTCCCTATCAACACTTGCCCCAGTATCCCGTATGCTTAATGGCTTATTGTCAGTACCCTGCATATCGAAACCAACTCAACAATCAATCATTATTGACATGGTCAATGATCCATAATTGCCCACCCTGAAAGATGCACTACAAGAGTGGAAAGTATGTAGCAAACGTTTTTTTTTTTCTTTTGCTTTCTGCCAATATAACTAGTGAAGTTGTTGGTAATATAACAAGGAAAAAGTGGTCCCCATCAATTATATCCAAGCTTACCGAATTATCCGAATCCTCAGGAGTACATTGATCTTTCCCGGTGCTACTGGCGATGGCAGGTGCACCATGACCTGTCAACATAGAGTTCATTTCACCCCACATAAACTCCTCTTCCTCAGAGTTCTTCCAGTTAGTAGACAACACTCTGTTGCTGCTGCCGCTTGAAAATTTTTGCATGGGCAGTAGACGTGCACCAGTGTTTGCAGACTTGGGTGCAGGGTAATTTTCATATCCAAGCTTGATGTCGAACCCATTTCTTTGTCCAGATAATTTCTCAGCCAAATTGTTTCCTGCTAAAGACCAAGATTTGTCTTGCCCTTCATCAACGACCCTCCTTCCAACACCTGATGTCCTTGAAAGATCAGAACCACATTCATAGTCTAGATATGCAGCGGCGACTTTCTTCTCTTGTGCCAAATCATTTGGTGCATCTCTAAGTGGACGCTGAATATCCTGCAAAATTTATACCATTGGTGTTTGTAATGAGGGAAATGAAAAACTAATAAATAGTGCGACTTTTTGGAGGAAAAGAAAAAAAACTTACAAGCCCTTTAATTGGTGTATCCGCCCACAGGCGTCCAGAACTAATTTTGGCTTGGGCAACATCCTGAGTTACAGTTGTTGCGCCAGTACCATCACTAGTCATTCCTTTCACCTTCATCACGTATAAAGATTAATCACATAAGGACAAGAAAAATGAGTAGCAAAACCATTTCACAAATTAAGATTCTTGGGTTAAAAAAGTGTAGTATAGGCAAGTACTTGGAAGATTTTCAGAAATCTATTTCTATGAAAAAGCAAAGCTGAATAGGTTATCAATTTGTGGCAACGAGAAGATTAAAGACAACAGACAACAGATTCTCAATTTATAAGGGCTGATAATCACATTTAAAAAACCAAGAATGACTTCAATTTTCAAGAAGTATAAGTGGACCACTGTAAGAATTAAAACGGAACATGGTAGTAGAACTTCACTAACCCTGCCTGACTGCTGAAGGCGTTGCCTCTCAATATACTTGGGATTTACATGGATACTATGGGGTGGACGTTGTGCCTGCAAATCTGGCTTCGAGGTTATGGTCCCAGAAGAAGAACTACCGCTAGACACGAAGCCAAGTTCTTTCTCGATAATCTGGAGAGTTTGAGGAGGAAACACTCCTTTCCAGGTGCCAAAAAGATGTCTCATGCTTGTATGAACAGATGGGTCGACTTGCCTATAAGCTTTGCAGAATACCTAAAAATGATAGAAAAAACTATTTTAAATTTGGGATTGATAGGCAGTGAATACTATCATAAAATTGTTAAATTGATAGGACCCAGATTACTGGTCAAATAATGCTGGAAATGACATTCACGTCGATATCTTCATATCAGTTCAAGAAAATGAACAATGATACTGAGCCACGAGGAAGCACAACTTATGGTAGACCAGGGGTGCTCTTGGTAGGTAGAGGTACACAACAAAATCTAACCTCCGGTAGTCTTGCTGCAAAGTATTTTATGTAATCTCTTCCAATATTCTTTACAATACTGTCCAATAGATAAAGTGATGGCAGCTTCTGCTCAGTGGGAACCTGGAACATATATAAGAAATCAATATGGCATCAAGACTGCCAGATGAACACTTGATGATTGTAGGGTCAAACCAAAATGCCCCATAAAAAGAAATTGAATTCCTATCAGCAAGCATTTTGCACATGCATACACAGAAAAAAGTTGATGACTCCTTAAAACAACTTAGAGAATTGACCTTATGTAACTATCAGCAACACTCATAGCCAGTTACAGAGAGAAAAATAGTACAATATTTGGAGGCATATCATACTAAAACAAGAGTGCCTCAAATTTTACACAGACAGATGTGCATCGAAGTGTCTGTACTCATAAATGGAGATAAATATCACAATGCAACATTGGTTTAGATCATTAAGTGAGGGAGAAAGGTTAAATCTTAAGAGGCTTCAATGGCTAAATCATGCTTCAAGTAAACCAATACTGCAGTTTCTTGAAATAATAAAAATAATCTCCTACAATTATACAAACAAGTTAACAGATCAACACTTTTCCAGCAGCAAACTAGTCATGTGCATTGTGCATTCACAGACACCAATGCAGGCCACACACATAACAAGGGAATCAAACCTCCAGCAGTCTTTAAGCATTCTAAATGTAACAAAGAAGTTGTAGAACGGTAGTTCTAATGCTCAATCATTACTCCAGAAGCATACACAATACCTGACTAGATTCATTTTCACTTAACATTTAACGATATAACATAGGGTGCACGACACATCGAAACTCACTGATCCTTCTCTAGTATCATTTGATATTTCAAGCTTTACTAGGATCAGGAGAAGAAAAGAAACACCACAAAGCACTCAATAACAAGAACAGGATCAGCATGAAAGGAACACGTAAAGGATCAAAACTTCTATAACAATACAATTCAAACTTGCACAACTCCATGCGTCAGGAGACTTTTTGCAACATTTTCTTTTTCTATCAACATACACAGTTCCACCAAAACCACAAGAACTTTATCTAATATCCTAGCTCAAACCTGCTAAAATTCCCCCAGATCAACGATCTCTCATCGAGGTGAAAGATCATTAGCCTCCTGTCAAAATGCAATCATCTGTTAACTCGGCTTGGTGCTTATATTTCAATTGGTGGCTTTATTGGGTACAATTTTTTTATCGTCCCTGACTTGTGGATTTAGAAACAGTATAATATAACCATCAATTTCAGTACACAGGGGAGTCAACCAACTAAAGAAGAGAAGCTGCATTGTTGTTTAACTAATTTTATAAATTAGATTTTCAATTAGCCCAATAAAGAACCTTATGAGAGTTGCTAATTATTCTTGCGAAGTTTCATTCGATACCAGAAGCATGAATTGATAGCCATACCAGAACCCACGTTATTACAACCTCCAATAAAAAAGCTTTTTCTAAAGAAAATCATGATGTAGTTTCAAGTACTAAGATGATAACGCATAAAGAAACATATTATAGGAGCAATTGTTATATTCCACAACCAATCTGTTGCACTATCTACAAAATAATTAAAATCGCAGTAAGACGCAAAGATTTCATTAATCCCATTACATTTACAATTTTACTTCTGCAATTCAACAAGAAAGCATTTTCTGTATTTCTTCTTTCCCTTCTACACTAATTCCCCATACAATCATATTCACACAAAAAGAAAAAAAAAATCAATCAACGGAATGCAAAACGCTGCTACACAGTTTAAAACTGGGTTCACCTCGAGAATGTTGGCACAAATAGTGGCAGAGATCGCTTTTGCAGCCTGGAGATTTTCACCCGCGATTATGGTCAAATTCGTGATGATTGGTTTGGAATTGAAAGTCAGCTCAGCAAGGGCTGTCCTGTACTGGCTCACAAGCTCCTGATGCTGCGGCGGCTGAGGCTGATACCCCACTCGACCAGAATCACTGCTTCCCGGATCCCTATCGCTTGCTCGAAATCTGGATTGAGCGATATTGGTTCCGGAAACAACTGGTCTCTGCGGAAACGGCCGGCCATTAATGTTCCCACCGTGGTCAGCCTCATCGGCCAGTCGAAGCTTCTTCAAACCCGGTTCCCTCGTTCGATCGAAAGGTCTCCGCGAGCTCTCCATTTCCATTAGCAAACGAAATAAACCAAAACCCTAATCCTAAACCTAGTAAAATTCTAATTCTCTGTAATTACATCGTCGATACAAACGAAAAAAGGAATTGGCAAAATAAGTAGACAAGATCTCAATAGCCTTTCTTGATTTCTTCCTACCAGTGACTAGTTCGCGCAAAAGCAACATGTAGATTACAAAAACAAACCCCCCACTGAACCCTAGAATTGTACAAGATAGAACCAGAATTAAACCTTAATCCTAAAAAGTTACAGAGAATGAAGAAGATTTACAATGATTACTAATAAAGAAGAAAAAAAAAAAATAATAACTGAAATTGGCCGGAAGAATGCTAGAACCCGGAAAACAGGAGGAGCAGGAATCAGACTCGCTTGTTATATAGAGGAAGTGCGAGAACGCATTGCCTTTGAGCTGTTTTATTATTTTTTTTTTCTCTCTTTCTTTTAATAATATTGGTAGGTATCAAATTGAAAATAAGATAAATAAGATATGGAAGGGAACACATAAATAAGCCATCCACTTACTGATCTAAGAGAATGATTATGAGTTTATAATCAAATAATACTATGTTCTTTAGAGGCAGGGTGGAAAAGCCCAAATTCAAACCATAAAAGCTTACTCTCAAAGTAGACAATATTATACCTATATACTATATTGATGTATGGATACATAAAATTTTCGATAAAAAACTAACAAATCAACTAAAATTTTATTGGGTTAAATTACAAATTTAAATTTATATTAAATAATTCAATTAATTTTTTACAATTTTGTTTTTTTAACTTCTTGAAAAAAGAAAATTTATGATGTAAATCTAAATATTTTAGAACTATAATCGTTAATTTAACATAATTTATTTGAATAAAGAATTAAATTAAAATAAGAGGATTACTGGGTGGAGTTTTACCAAAACCCGAATTTGCCCCCAAAACCCTAACATTCAAGACGCCCGCGCCATAAAACCCACCAAAATCGGCGTCTGTTTGCAGTCGCCGGAAGTGTCGATATTCTTCTGCTATTTGAACATCAAAACCCTAAATCATCTCCGTCATCTCGTGGCTGTGGATCATGTTGAAGGTTAGAACTCCCAAGAATGGAAAAGTTAGACGAGAACTTGAGAAACGTGCTCCCAAAATTGTAAGTTCTTCCAATCCCGTCTGTATATCTTCATGCTTTGGGAGATAGTTTGTACTGGACGATTAACAGCATGTCAAAGAAGTTTGTATAGGTTGTGAATTTTTATTTTCTTCCCGTATTGATGGATTTGGTTATCGATTTGAATCGTAGGTTGAGACGGGGAAGAAGACGCTGATACTTCATGGCACAAAAACGAGCGGCGTGTTGAATGCAGTACTGACGGAACTCTATCACCTGAAGAAAGAAAGTTCCGTGAAGTATTCTCGTAAGAATGATGGAATTAAACCATTTGAAAGTGGCGGCGATTCGTCTTTGGAATTTTTCTCTCTCAAAACTGATTGCAGTATTATCGTGGTGCGTACACTTGTGAATGCTTAATATTCTATGCGTCGGTTATTTATTTGGCTTAATTTCTTGGAGCTCTGCAGCAAGCAACGTACCTTTTCGAGTTTTGTATATGCTTTTACAATTCAGTTTTCCCATCCGGAGGCAATTTCTGTACTCTTCATCTCAAAGAATTTGATATAAAACTAATTCTAGCCGTTTAGTGCTTCGTTTTAGGATTGATTCTTTTGGATGAGTACTTCTCGTTTTCCCGAAATGGTTTTTGATGGAAGAACTTAGCAATCCTCAAGCAGATGAACCTATGTAGAAAAACATAGTCATGATGTGCATTTTTTTTTTGGGGTAATGTGAGCCGCTAAGAATTTAGAGAACTTCAATTTAGGAGGCACCCTATTTTGTTCATAGGGAAACCTCCGTCTTCTTGGGTTCAAGTGTTGTATCTCTTATTTATTGATGTATTTGTTGCACCTCTTTTGCAGTATGGTTCTCACTCAAAGAAACGACCAGATAACCTTGTCATAGGGAGAACCTATGATCACAAAATCTATGACCTAATTGAGGTTGGGATTGAAAATTTCAAGTCAATGCATTCTTTCACATATGATAAGAAACTCTCGCCACGGGTGGGGTCAAAGCCTTTCATTACTTTCATTGGGGAAGGATTTGAGAATGTGGAAGAGCTAAAGCATTTAAAGGAAGTTTTGCTTGATTTATTCCGGGGGGAGGTAAAAACCCTGCAGCTTTAGCTGACTTGAGTTTGAATGTTTAGATATAAAAGATATCTATTGTCTTTGCAGGTTGTAGAGAATTTAAATCTTGCAGGGTTGGACCGTGTGTATGTATGTACAGCCATCTCACCGAATAAAGTATTTCTCACTCATTGTGCATTGCGATTGAAGAAGTCAGGTTCAGTAGTTCCAAGAATGGAACTAGTTGAAGTTGGTCCTTCAATGGATATGGTGGTTCGCCGCCACCGACTTCCTAGTGATGGTCTAAGGAAGGAAGCCATGAAAACAGCCAAGGATCAGGCTAAGAAGAAGGTTTAATGGCTATCTTTTAAATGCATGCACTTCATTTTTTCTATTTAGCCGTTTGTCTAATTTTGATGTTTACTTCTTCCAGGAGAAGAATGTTAGCCAGGATGCAATTCAGGGCAAGATCGGAAGGATTTATATTCCTGATCAAAAGGTGTGCACATCTCTCTCTCCCCCTCTGTCTGTATATGTCTTTTCTTGTTAAAGGGCTTGCTACTGTCACAATGCATGCATATCCTCTAGATTGGAAGTGGTTCATGTAATTGAACTCTTCTCTTGTCATGTTAGGTTCATGATATGAATTCTCATATCATGTTTATCACCAAAGTAGGTACTTTATTATGTCATCCGGTACAAATTTGCCAGTCATTTGAATAAACTTGATTTTCGACATTGACTCATAGGTTGGAGATATGGCTATACCCGACAAATCAAAGGGAGTGAAGAGAGAGCGACGTGAAGCGAAAATGAAAAGTAAAGATGACGGACCAGCCTCTAAAAAACCAAAGGAAGATTCAGAAAAGCCAAAGGAAAATTCAGAATAGTTCAATATTAGTGTAATAGTTTTGATCCGATTCTCCTCTTGCTAACTTGAGTCAGCTGTTGTGAATTGCATAGTAGCACGCCAAATATATGGAGAGAGCAGACAAATTATTTATTGCTTATATACAATTTTGGTTTTGTTCTTCAATCTGATTCTTACATGCTAAGCCTATCTTTTATCAGCTTAATCATTCAAGCTCTTTCAAAGTTTGATCGTGAACCTCATTGATTGTTCAGGACACAATAAGGAAAATTCTAAGTAAGAAGGTGGAAAGTATGCAAGCAAGTTCATAATCAATTCATTATCTAAGTAAATGAATTATTCAGTTCCTTCAACTAGAAATAACTAGGATTCATAGTAGCTGCAAAAGCAAACTATGTCATAAAGTCTGATCTGCATTTTTGGGATAAGCTCGAGTATCTGGGTCGTTGAATGGGAAACCAGAAGCCGATCACTTGTCCATGCCCAAATCTCCAGCCTGCTGGGAGCCTAAATCCCAGATTGGAGACTGTCCGCAAGAAACTTGCCAAAATTGATCCTCAAAGCCGACTGGATTGCTCCACAACTCGTTGCTCGAACCGGGCGTACTAGCATCGACATTCAAGTATGCATTCCAAATTTCTTCTGGTTTAATGATACTTCCAGTTCCATGATGTGAGGACTGTAGAATATCCTCTGCCAAAGAGCCAAAATAGTCAGGACTCCCAATAGCCTTCGAAGCCTCTATCCTCAGCTCCTCTCTTGGTTTTACAATTCCATCATGGAATGCTAATTCCTCAGACGCAATTAAATCACTTGATGAAGCATTCATAAGTTGAAAATCGGGTATGCTATCTGGAAATGATCCCATTCCCTGCATAAGGTAGGCAGAAGGTCCTTCAAACAGGCTTGGATTCAAATCCATTGCTGTTTCGATCTTCCCTTCCATGGACAGTGTACAACCATCGTGTTTATGCTGCTTAACAAATTTCCGCTTGATTCTCTCGGAATCGATATCTTTCGGTTCCTTATTTTTCTTCAGGTGAAACAAGAGTTCTGGATTCCGAAGTAACTTCGACAAGAAAGTAATCATCTGCTTCTGTCTCTGCTCTGCTGACCGGAGGCGTCGGTTCACCGTGATGACATGCTGAGCAGTTCCCTTATGCTGCTGCTGCAATTCAACAACCTCCTGCAATAACATGCTCCTCTCTTTCTTTAACTTCCCAATTTCATCTTCTAATCCAGACTTCCCTCCACCAGTAGATGGCCCTATCAAACTTCCAACCTGCTCTGAATGAGGTGATTTGCGCCTCTGAATGTTCTTTAATAAGTATTTCTTCCCTCGTTGGAAAGCTACATTTGCAAATTCCCACTTGTCTGTATCAATCTTGCGGAACCCCTGAATGCAAATCCCATGAGGTATTCAAATCATCAGTATAGCAACATAACATACCTAAGGAATTGCTATCAACATACATCAGCATACACCGACATTCATAGAACGTATGTGGTATATTTAAACAAAAAATTATCACACAACACAAGTGGGGTCGAAATTTTTCTTGCATAGGGGAAGCTCCATCACCGTTTGTATCTATAATCAGTAAGAGAACTAATAAATATGATCAATTTGATTGATTCTACCTGGTGGAGATGGAAGTTCCTCAATCCCCTTCAAACACATGGAGGGGAGTATTTCCTCAGGCCTGCAATATCAAGCAGGAAAGAGCGCAAGCCTCTTAATTCAAAGGCAAAAGAACTCTGGCTTCAAACCAGAACGAGCCAGCAAAAAAAAAATGAAGGCAAAAGAACTCTTAGAGTTCCCATAATTGAAAATCTTATGCAGAAGCATGAATTCAAGTTCAATACACCCCAAGAACTATTGCAAGAGTACAAATACGAATCAATTACATACAAGAGTACAAAAAACAAGCGTAAATGTACAAAGAGAGAGAAGAAAAGGCGGAACAAAAAATTTACATACAGACCACAGCAGCCATTGAAGGCTGTAGTGCAATACCCACATAAGTATTTAGCTGTCTGACAAAACTGGAGAAGTTGTTATGCTTGAAATTAGAAGGAAGAATGACTCTAGAAAACTCCACGGGATCCCAAACCACAAAGCTCTGCCCTGCTGAACCCCAAGATACAATCGGATCAATCGCAGGATCCTCAACAAGATCGAAAGTCTTCCACAGAAATGGCGGAACTAGCTGGCCATGAAGACATTCTAGAGGTTGAGGCAGATCACTTCCCATACACGGCACCACATATGGGTCCGAAACTCCTATATCTGGTTCAAGCATAACGTCGAACAGGTAGTGTGCAGAAGAAGATGACATTGGGTTTTGAACAGAAAAGCCTCCGATAGAAGGAGACTAAGAAAAATATGACACTGGGCAGGTAAATGGAGCTCGGAAATGGATCAGAGTATATAAAATAGCGCCACAGAACATTACGCCGACGAAGTGTTCGATAAAAATCTGGGGAAAGAAATTCAAAGGCGGTGGAGACAGTGACTGGGAATCGAGTCGTAGCAGCTCTACAGTTGAACCGTTGCTCGTGCCGGCACCCCATTAAGACGCCGCCAAAGAGTTGAGGCTGTGGATTCTCTGCAAATTGAAAGGAAACAATAGCAGAAAATAACCGACCTTTGTTTATCAGATCGTTTTCGCAGAAGCCGCGCTATTTCGAGAGGCCGTTACTGTGGTTGGGGGAAGGGGGAAGCCGGAAGGTCTCTCTTCAACGCGGAATTTTAGATCTTTTGTCCGCACGGGTTTTTTCTGGACCGGTCGTTTTGGTTTGAAAGGGACGCTTTGGACCGGTATTTGCTTAAGGACGAAGTTAACTCGACTGACCAATAGGATTTTAGAGGTCTCTGTCATTTGATGAACGTGTCTCCAATTTTGATAATATATATTTTTAAAGAAAAAAATTGATTAATATATTAATTTTTTGTGAAGGAAAATTCTTATGGTATATTCCCTACGACTTAAATAACATATAATTCAAGGTAATCTTCCCTAGAAACATCACGATTTAAATAACATATAACTTAAGATAGGAAAAATATAAGAAGAATTGATAACTAGTCACATTCCTGTAATACATTTTGGGGCATTTTAGCCATGACGAGTGTAAACATGATTTTGGTGACCAATCATACACCATCATATTGACACAACATAAAATAGAAAAATGTTATTTAAGTGTATCTAAGATGAAAGCATGTAAAAGAAGTTAGAAATGAGCATGGACAACACATCCTAAACAAGCATGATCAAGATATCCGCAGCAATAGACAACACGCCTTGGACAAGCATGATCGTGATATTCTTATCTCATGTCGCGAAGTTTTTATATCAACGGCGAGTCTTGTGTTTGAGTTGTATATAAATTACTAAAGAATTATATGCTATTAAATTAAAAATAAAAACATTAATTGGACCAAATTTCACTGATGTTTGAAGGTTGGGTCTTTTTCCCCATTCAAATACCAGCACTTTGGGATGAAGAAAATGAACCCATCCCATTTTGGGACCTTCACTCCCTGTTTTCAGGACCTAAACTATCAGACTCTGTGAATATTAATTGAATGTTTGAACAACCTCTTAAATAACAGTAATGACATTTCCTAGCAAACACCAAGTCCGACTGAATATAACACTGTATCCAGCCACAACTAATCATTAGTATGTACAAAATTAGTTCCATTCCATGTCCCGTTCTCAAAATAAGACCAATAAATATACAAACAAGTAAAGGCGTGACCTGCAAAAGGCTGACAATGGAGTTGCAGCTTCCTTATCACACCATAGCAAAAAGGTTGAAGCTTTCCTTCATTGTGGGCAATGGAAGTGATCCATATTCTTCTAATCTCTCTACATTTTGATGATAATGAACTCAGAATAAGTTTGGTGGGATTGTGTGGTAATTGAAGTTTTCCAACACTTCTCCCATCCCTTCACAAAAACTCGAGAGAAGCCCGGTACCAGATCTTAGCTTGAAAAAGGGAACAAGTAGAAATGGAAGATTTTGCTATAGGAGCACCTGAGATCATTTGGAGTAACGTTTAAATGCACCGGATATCTCTCGAAGGATACCGTTATCAGCACTCGAAAACGTCAGGCATTCCTACATTCCATATTGTCACATAACTGAGAGTGTGTCAGCACGACCTTGTTGAGGTGGTGCTTGTTTAGTCATTGGCTTCAAGGTCTCCATTATGCTGGAAAAAGATGGACGTTTCCAGGGCTCACTGCAATTTTATCAGTTAGTAATATCGAATGAAAAACAAAAATGCAAAAGAGCCCAAGAATAGAACTATATTAGAACAACTCACTCGGCCCAGCAAGCCATTATTAAGGAAGCCAATTTGGGATTTACATCACGTGGGATTTCAAGCCTTAAGCCCTTAAATCCAACAGCTGCAACAACCTATGCAACAAGAAACTGTCACGGATCTAGCTACTACAAAGTCGGCTGAAAGTTACCAGAAAGGTTATGCAAATTGAAGTGGATTTATAGCTGAGCAACAATGTCTACAACAAACATCAAAATCCCACACATCATATAGGCAAGGAGTGCAGAAAAGGAAAAAAGAGAAGAACAGAAAAACATCGCAGGTTTTATGGTGAGAAAACGTCATTGGTCGATTTCAGTAATTGAACTCCGCCGAATCCCTTCTCTACTGTTTTTCAGGGTATATTTGTTGTGATATTGGGTTCTTTCTTCACAAGCCTAATAGAAATCCAACATTGAGAAGTTCACACTTGAAAAAAAGGAGAGGTTACATCATGAGGTAGGAAACTTCTCATTTTTGCTCTGACCAAAAATGTTGGAAGTATCTAATAAAGCAAAGGAAATTAGCATGAGGCATTGGGATTGACCACAAAATCAAGAGGGTATGATTTTGATATCACATATCGACTAGGCTTCGAAAACAAAGGTGCAGATTCCTTAACCCAATTTCCATTCAACGTGACTTTTGCAGTCATAAATTGTAGTGTGGATGTTTAAACAAATGAAAAATCCTTCAAAATCACCATTTGCTACATCTTTCACCAAAAACTGCTCAACACAAGGCAACAAGTCAAGGGATCACCTAGCCTCAGGTCCCTAAAAGTGATACTTTTACCCCTAGGCTGGCCATAGCCTTCCATCTTGATCCAAAACCTTTCTTTCCTAGCATCTTGTTTGAGAAAAGACCAAAATTGAACCAACAAATTTTCCAGTAGTAACAAAAGCCAAGGAAAACGATAGTAGAGGGAAGAACCTCACTGAGCCTATCAGCCAAGATCTTCTACGTACTTAATGTGGTCTTTTCAACCAAACATTCGCAATTTTGTAACTTTCTCCTTTTCTGGTACAAGAGCAATCAACAAACATCTCATTCAAAACTACAGTTGATAGTCCTTAACGAAAAATTTGACACATTTCCATATTATCTTTACTAACAACATCCCGAACTCCTAAGAAGAATTCCATGTCAAAACCTTGTGCCTGGAGTTTTGTTGGCTCCAAGATTTACTTTTATACCCATCCTCACTTCATCATCAACTGGCCTCCCAAGCATGCCTTTCATTGACAAGCCAGAATTCCACAGAAGTCTGTAGGGAATATATCTTTCCCAGACGCTTCCCAAATTAGGAGAGATACTCCTTCTCACAGTTTTCTTGATTCACCAATCACCGAGCTAGTGATAACATATTTCCTTCAAACAGCAATCTTGGGGAAAAAGTGAAGTTTTCTTCTCCTTCATTAACCATTTCTTTTTACATTTTTAGCGCCAAAATTTAGGATAAGATCCTTCAGCCTTGTTTTAAAAAAACTTCTTTCGTGTCTTTTATCTTCATCTAAATTCTGCGATCCATTTAGATTACTAGGGCTATTAATATTTGTAGTGAGCTGACTTTTTCTGGTAGGAAATACTGCTAAATACTTGAGAACGGCAATTCCATCCCGAGTTTTGGCTTGAATACTAAACATACTCCAATGTTTTCGGAAAATTGCTACGGGTGGTCTCTATGCATGCAAAATGAAACTCAAAACCACCTCTTTCCCCACTGCTGCTTTGCTATCGTGTTTTGGAGCCATGTCTTAGTCTTTTGCAGTTTGACCTTGCCAATGAACAAAGATTTCCTCAAACATTCAATCTCTTTTGTTATCTCACTCGTCCTACAAAGAAGGCTAAAAATGCTTTGGCTCAACATCATCCAGAGCTTCTTCTTGAATATTTGGCTAGACAGGAACAACAGACCCTTTAATGGAAATGGAAGAAACTACACAAATCTTACTGAATACATCATCACAGCCGCCTCATGGTACAAGCTTAGCAATATGTTTTGTAGTTATTCTTTAACCAATATTTGTGGCTTTTTGTAACCCTCTTCTGTTTGGAGGGCCTCTCCTGCCTTTTTTTTTTTCTTTCTTTTTTTTTAAATTTTTTTTATTTATATCTATTTCATTAAGTTAATAAAATTCCATTTATCTGCAGAGAGAGAGAGAGAGAGAGAGAGAGTGCGTGTTTGATATTTTAAACTAGGAAGCTCTAGAAGACTTACAAACGATCAAAGCTTAAAGAGAACATTTGCTTTTGATAACAGTGCAATTTTCTTATCCAACAACATTACTATAAGAAGACGGAAGAAAAAAACCTGAGCTGGGTTTAGATTACACCATGGCTGTTGCAAAGTTGCTAACTCCCACAAAATCACTCCAAAGCTGTAAACATCTGACTTTTCATTTGACGGCTCATCACGTAGTACCTCTGGTGCCATCCATTCAGGCTAACAAATTGAATAGTTAAACATTAGAAATTGTATAGTATAGACATCTTCCACGAATAGGGATAGTGTGGTGATATATTGCTACAAAGCCAAGAACTTACTGTTCCAGCTGCGGATTTTGATGAAAGAAATGTTCGTGCCTTTAAACGGGAGAGACCAAAATCACAAACCTGAACAGAGAGAAAATGAAGACATTCAATGAAAGAAAATCTAAAACCCGTTTGATAACGATTTTGTTTTTAGTTTTCTGTTTTTAAAATTTATGTTCATTTCCTCGTATTATGATTATCATCTTTCTTAAAGAAAAACTTGATTCTAAGTCAAATTCTAAAAACATAGCTTAGTATTTAAAAACATTGGTAAAAAGTGGATAACAAAACAAAGAAACTTGGGGTGGAAGGAGTGTTTATAAGCATAATTTTCGAAAGCAAAAAATCAAAAGGTTTATCAAAAGGAGCCCTAATATTTTAATCATAAAGACAATACATCCCTCCAGGTTTCTTATTTTTTTAAAAAAAACTTCTGAACTCCAACTCTGAGCTCTGTTATGTCAAGCATATCATCAGATATGAAAATTTTATTTTGTTTTCAATGTAGTAAATTGATGTTCCCCCCTCCCTCCCTTGAAGCGTAAAAGATAGAACTTGTTGCTTACAGATTTTGGAACATTCATTATCATTTATTTTCATGTTCTTCTACAGCTGAGAAGTATAATCTAGAAAACGCCAATCTAAACATGTTTAAAAAAATTCTGCTGAAACGTTTCAGTTAAACTCATGTACCGAGGACTTGCAAGGTTATCAACAGTGGTAAAAAGTAGATGACGCACTAGGAAAAGTCTAGATACAGTTTTAATGGATAAAAAAAAACAGCGGGGGCTCATGCCAGCAAAGTAACACCTTAACAAGAGATAAAGGACCAAAAAGCGGTAAAATGGTGTCCTCTAGGAGAGATATTTTTAAGCTGAAAGTTACAAACTTAAATACCTTTACTGTATACTTCCTGTCAACTAAAAGATTCGGTGATTTTAGATCGCGATGAACAATTGGAGGATCACGTCTATGGAGATAGTTCATTCCCTTTGCCTGTATCAAAACGAATGATCGAGTCATTTACCAAAATATAAACGTCGTCGAAAATGAAGGTACACAACACAGCACAAGATAAAATTCTGGGGGGGGGGGGGGGGTTACNTTTTGGGGGGGGGGGGGTGGTTACTAGAATACAATCTGTGAATCATTAGAATATACATACCACATCAAAAGCCATATTTATCCGACGTGTTTCATCAATGTCTTTGACACCTGACTTATGCAAAAGCCTATACAAGCTACCTCTGCAAATAAAACCAATTCTTCAACTTTCAAACATTTTCCATCAGATGCTAACTTTTTCAACTTTAATTAGGAGAAAGATGGTAAAGAAAACCTCGATAGATATTCAGTGACAATGGACAGGTTTGGTGGCTTGGTCACGGCACCCATGAACAGTACAATATTAGGATGTCGTAAGGATTTCATGATAGCAACCTATCATGCAAAAATAAAGAAACAAAACCACAGTCAACAAAATAATCGGTGCCTCTAGTACACAGAATTGAGATTTCCACCACTGCATACCTCTCTCAGAAACTCATTAACACGTTCAGGATGGAAGTCTTGTTCTGTTAGGATCTTCACAGCAACTTCCTGACATGCCCATGATAAATTCTTAGAAATATGGCGTGAACACATCATATAACTATTAAAAGATAATGAAAAGGCACCATTTGAATCGAGGCTTCATACCAAAATCTTCAATTACTCAATAATTGAAAAATATAGCTAAATAAGAAGAACAAGACAGGGTTTCCATTCCCATCCAAAGGAACTGCAAGATACAAAAATGATCCCTACAATGACGCATAATCATATTACATCCTAATAATAACTTCTGATGCAATGGGAAAAGGCAAGTGTATTGACAGGAGAGCAAGATAGAAATCATATTATAAGAATTTGCAAAACAGATAATGATCATCAACAATAACTGCATTATGCATCACATATTCGACTCAAAACCGAGTAAACACCGCATGCTCGCATAGTAGACTAATTTTGGGAAATAATAATCATCAACCATTTTTTGCATGACTCACCGATCCATGCCAATCAGCACGATGCACAGTTCCGAAGGAACCTGAAATTACACCAACGATACGCTCAGAATGACCTTAAAGATTAATTGCAATGAATTCTATAGATAGACTGACAGCTTTTCATTATGCCCAAAGTTATCATATTTAAAAGTCCATATTTTATAAAATTTGTAGTGCACATACCTGCTCCAATTCTTTCTTTTAAAACAAGATCATTCCATGGAATGTCCAAATCCTCTGCACCAAGGGGAAGTGTTTTACTCCGTGTGCTTGGTATTAGCTGACCTCCCTGTTGAAACCTTACGTCCATAGTAGAATCCATCCTTGGGTGGGACATATCCAAATATGACTGCGCACTTACACGGCTAATATGTGGAACGTACTTCAGTGGGATTGAATCCTCAACCAGGACAGTTGGTTGTATAGCATTATGAGAATTATCACGCAGTTTAAGTAGGAAATCTCTGTCTTGGGAATTAGGCTGCGAAGTTTTTGCATGCAGTAAAATGGATTTTTCATCATTTTCACCAGGGACGAGCATTTGGTTGCTTCTGTTGGTGAACTTTCTATCAAACTGCTTTAGATACAAGGGGAGTGCGCTATCTTCTCCGTCCACTGTATTTTCTGTGATGGTGACGAATAAAAACTTATCAATGAAAAAAACAATATACAGGGAAGGCTTGCAAGATTGAGTGTGATAGAAGTTTTGAGAAAACGTAAATGCAAACCATAACAAAAATTATGCGATTCAGCAATATTGCATGCTTACTGCAGCCTTTTGGAAGTGCTATCTTTAGTCACAAAATCTACTTTATCATACCTTTCGTAACAAGGAAAATTTCCTCTATCTCCAACCTTACCGAGGATTTTCTCTCATCATTCCATGTGTTCTTCAATCAACTTTTCACAGAATTTTATAGCATGGAGCACAAAATAACTGGACTTTCTAGACTGAAGTTTGATTAGACGGTTACAAGCATATACAGCTTTGTCCGGTTGCACCGGCCTTTTTCATCAGATATCTAATGGGTACTCGAAGTGAGTATCAAGACAAGAAGAAGCACAAACTAGAGGTTTACTAATACCAGATATAGATTTGAATAGTTTTGCCCCCACAAATACACCTGTAGCTACAAGAAAACTAAATGTTGAAGATAGCCGAAGTAATGCTCCTGCGTAATGTCATCCACTGATGAACTGATGATCCTAAGCATCCAATGTCTAATAAGTATGATCATACACTCTACTTTTCAGGAACATTATAAAATATATCTGGTTATAATTTACAACAAGAACTTCCAAAGAGAAAAATGCAAAATGAAATTATAAAATATGATTTTCATAGTACTGAAATTAACGTGTGAAGAGTCAAATAATTACCTGAGTAATTACATGAGGAAGCTTCATCGAAAACAACATTAAGCAATTGGCAATCTGAAAAGTACTGTTTAGCCAGTGACCTGAAATCAATAGCCGGCTCTACTGGCTTTAGTCGTGGAAGTCGCAATGGCGAGGAGATCAAAATGGAGGATGGGCCATTGAGCAAAGAATCAGGCTCATACAAGCAACCAGGATTTCCAATCAAGTCAACCAGATACTCCCTACAGAAAATTAACCAAGCCAATTATAACTTTATTAATACAACGAGGAACAATGATCAGTTCCATGAGCTTTCCAACATTCATCGCCACAAAAGAGCAAAATTGGCAATAAATTATTACTAAAATTTTGAATCAGCAAGGAAAAATAAGAAACGGTCAATTTGAGGAGGGTTGACACTGTTAAGTGCACTATACATTTAAAATTAAAAGAGTATCTCAAAGCTAATAATTGCACGAGTTAGAAAACATTATAAGTGATAACGTTGAAGCCAAACATTTCAAAGGAGAGTAAAACAATCAAAAAAACTTATCAACCATTGCTTCCAAGTCATTTTGTTTTCTTCCATTTCACCCCATTTTGATCTGAATTGGATCCCAATGCTATTTCAGTATCCTACAGGAATTATCTTCCCAATGACGATGAAGATTACAATACTGTCTAAATAGCATTATTATATGTCAATTAATGGCAGGCACCAGCTTAATTGAAATATGTTGTTTGAGCTGCATAGTCAATAAATGCAACAGTAAACAATATAGAACTCTTTTGGAACAAGCAGAGTATTGCAGAGAGAGCATACTTGTCAAGCCCAAACTGAACAAGACAAGAAGAAGAATCATGGCGTGAGCAATATTTACAGCCCTTGGCTACACGACAGGGTAAATCAATTGTGTCAGCTAACACCTGCAAATACCATAATCTTGAATAAGCGGACCCTGAACTATGTCAATTCACTTGATAAACTAAAAGACACTTATATCAAATAATAGCTATGCAAATTGAAAAATACAAGAATACAAGATTAAGAATTTACCAGAGGCTATATGCATTAAACGAGCAGAAAATTATATATAAAATTAACTACTATAAAGTGACTGCAGGAATCACAGCCTATACAGAAGGAAAACTATAAAGAGTCAATTGATGTGCTTCAAAACCGGGATCTCACTTTAAAAAGAAGTGCACGATGCCGGCAGAGTCCTACAGAGAGTCCACCAAGAGGAACAACCACTGAGCCTAAGGTCTCCTTCAAGTTATCACTGCACTCCCTCCATATCGACTCCAACACATCTTCTCCAGAAACTGAGCCACTATTGATACCAAAAGAACGGAAGTTATTGGGGTTGAATGAAATAGACAAGTTTCCAAATGTAAGTGTGGATGTCTCACCCCAAACTCCTACAGACAAGTTTTGCAAGCTGGTCTACAACCTCTTCTGTGGTTATAGAGGTGCAAGAAACGCTTTGGACCCAATTTTGGAGGTCTTTTAAGTTGGGATCAGTGCGCCGATCAATCAGAACAACTTCAATTGAAGAATCAGTGATAGGATCAACAGACTTTAGAGATTCAATTGATGGCATGCGATCATTATCAGGCAGGCTGGTGCATACAGTCCATACATATGGATCCATTCCATGGATTAAATAAAACCCATCAGGAACCTTGTCAAAGTATGATAGGCAGCCATTCACCTGATGCATATAATAACACGACAGAACATCATTTTCAAAAAATGGTACTCTGTTTAGCTAGACCTAAAAATATGTTCCTCTACCACATTCTCAATGTTATTACAAATAAATCAAACAAAAAAAGGTCAGATCTTCAATATTTGCCACACATGTAAAAATACCAGTAGTTTCATTTTCATACTGAAGTGGAAATGCTCATTCAAATCTCGGTTTTTTTTTTTTTTAATCTTTCATGGCTCAGAGTAGAATCCAGCCAACTTGAATAAATTAGGAACTAATCGACATATTGACAAACAGCTGGGCTGTCCAATACAATGGATAGCCCATAGCTAACTTCCATTCTCAAATAAATACCGACATAGGTCAGATGGTTATAGCTATCCATCTACTGCATTGATCACAAGAGATTAACCACAAAAATTGGAAATAAGGTAAACAAAACATGAATCTTAAATTCCTATCGGTTTTCCAAACTTATATCATCACTTCGAGAATAGTACTCTAGCCTAGACAGCATGTTGCCCCTGGGAAGACGTACTTGATGTGAAAGTCAAAGACCAATATAAATTTGATGTTAAAACAAGAAAGTAAAGTCGTGTTTTCTTCATTTGTTACCGCATCCTAGATCAATAATGCCATTCTACTTCATCAGCTGTAAGCCTTTTCCTAGGAAGCAACCAATGGCATATGCTGCTTCAGTAACATCTAAAGCAAAAGTCTATCATATTTTATTTGTATAGATATAAAATCAAACTCGGAGTATCATCAGAGGTCGACACTATTGCCCTATCATTCTTCATCGACAATTTTGCGGGGAGAATAGATGTTGCATCAATCCGTTATCGGGTAATCAGGATTTGACGCGACACCCGACAGTTACCAATCTGGTTGCTATCTAGACTATAAATTCTAGAATAAACATAATGTAAATTAGCATAGCCACTGAAGTCAACGCAACAAAACCATAAGCACGGATTAGAAAATGTGATGGATTGAAAACAATTTCTACCCAAAATCGATGTGACACAGCCTCAGCAGAGCTAATCGACCTCCTTAAAGCTGAATCATCCTGAAATGGATTTAAGAAATTAGGATCATCAGCACAAGTCGCCACAGATGAAAGCCGAAGCGCCAATGCCAGCTGCAGTTGATAACTCTCCTCCGTCTGTTGCGCCCAGCTCTTACTAGAAGATCCTCCAGTCCCAGCGGCCATCTCGGCTGTCTGTGGTCTCGAATCGCCTCCAATCCTAAGCAGATCATCGTGCGTACACCCAAACGCATCCGTCTCGTTAGCCACCGTAGTTGATGGTGTCGGTGCATAGTACTCCCCGGATATCGAGCTCTCTCCAAAGCTGCTTCCACTGGACTGCCTCTGCAAACCAAACGTCGAGTGCATATTACCGATCCAATTAACCTGCTGCTGCTGGCCCGCCCTGTGATCACCACCCGCTTCCCAATCCAATCCTCTTTCCAACTTCCTCCTGTCGTTCTTCCCCTCTCCTGATGATGTTTCTATCAACGATGTCGAAGCTCCGGCTCCAGCCACAGCAACGCCGCCACTGTACTGGTCGTCTGGAATTTGACTGAGAAGCGTGTAGTTCAATCTCCTGCCGGGCATTTCCATCGAGATTCTGAGAATTCCGATCAACTGGAATCCGTTCGGTCCCTAAAATCCACCATCGAAGCGATGAAGATTTCCCCTCCCTTCGATTTTCCACCTTTCCGGTGAGTACGTCTCTTTCAGAAATTCGACTGTCGGAGAGAGAAGCTGGGAACCATACAGAACTTTTATGCGCAGTGGCGTTTTCGTAATATTCTTTTGTCCAATAAATTCTTAATTAATTTATTTTGCCGAAGATCTGATATTAATTCGCAGTTGGCTCCATCACCCTTAAATTAGGCCCAATAAGATTATTCGTAACGACGGAAGTCATTTCCATTCCACGCGCCTGAAATTCCTTACGAGACTCCCGCGTGGGGTTTACACGTGCGCGTGGTTTTGATAGCTTCCGGATTAAAATAGGTTGTTGAACTACCATTTTACTCAATCGGTCTATGCCATTTGTTATGTGTTTTGTAATTTAAAAATTAGAAGTTTTGGTTAAAATTTCATTAAATCTTTATAAAGGGTGTTATATCTATTATATATCTATTAATAAACACAATAAATTATATATCTATTATGTCGGCCAAATAAACGACCTTTAAATATAAAAATAATCAATAAAAATAGTATCCATGTTGAGGATGGTTGGGAGTGAGTCCCACATTAGCTAATTTAGGGAATGATCACGGGTTTATAAAGAAAAAAATACATCTCCATTGGTTTGAAGCCTTTTGGCAAAGCGAGGAAAGGTGAGGAGAGCTTATACTCAAAGTGGATAATATCATACAATTATGGAGAGTCGTGATTCCTAACATGATATCCGAATCATGCCCTAAACTTAGTCATGTCAATAGAATTCTCAAATATCGAACAAGAATTGTGAGCCTCGAGGGTATAGTCAAAAATGACTAGAGTGTCAACCAAATGATACTTTGTTCGAGAGTTCTAAAAAATGAAGTCGAGCTTTGATTAAGAATAGACTATTCGAAAGCTTGATAAGCCTCAGGAAGTTCCACACCAAAGGGTCAAATGTTAAAATTCCATGTGAATTATAAAAAGAAAGGAAAAAAAATTCAGGTTGAAATTGAATTTCCCCCACGTACGTTTAAGTTAAAAAAAAAAAAAAAATCATGAAGAAAAGAAAAAGAAGATAAAAGAAAAGTAAAATCAATAGAACTAGGCGGGAAGGATAAAAAAAATTGGCGGCAAGAAGCAATAACAGCCAATTTTTTCCTGTTCTCTCTCACTCTCACTGCCTCTCTTTCCGCAATCTCACATCTTTGCCTCTTGACGCTTGCTCCTCAGTCCGATCTCCTTCCGCGACTCGATCTCTATCTGCGATTTCAATCGCACCATACATCCGCAACCAAGGTACGTTTCTTCATTTGAAAGAGTGGTCTCTAACAATGTTTTAACCGCTAGTTGAACTTGGTCAAATTTCAGTTTATCTGGCAATCGTATCCTGTTTCCTCCAATTCAATTTAGTTTCTCACATTATCTGTAATCTTTCTGATGTCGGGTCCATTGAAACGATTTTGCTCCGGTATAACAACTTAAGATTTTAGAATTAATGGTTGTTTAGGAAGTTGTGCAGGATTTGTTCATTACTATATAACTTGAATATTTGTATATTGTTTACTTTCGACGATTGGTAATCGTTTGAGCTCAATCTGTGTTTTGTCTTCAGATCGGTCTTCCTCTGTGGTCCGATAACATTTGCACGGCCACTTGGATCGTATTTTCGGAGTCAAGGTAGGCTTCATCATCTGAAATAGTAGTTTTAGAAGATGTTCAGGGTTATAGTGGATTTTTGGTCGGAGTTCCGTTTATCTGATGAGCGTATTCTGCTTCGTCAATTCAAATTCAATTTCTCCAATTTCTGTTGCGTGAAATTTGATGTCTGTGCCATTAAAATAAGATCGATAAGGCCTAACGGATTAAGATTTTTGAATTGATCGTTGTTTAAGAACTTGCGCAAGAGCTGTGCACTACTACATAACTCGACTACTTTTATTTTGTTTATTAGTTGATGGACAATAACCGTCTTAGCTCAATCTGCTCTCTCTTCAGTTCGATCTCCCGTTTCGCTTCAATTTCCATCAACGCTTTCACGTAGATCATACAATTGGAATCAAGGTACGCGTCTTCATCCAATGTAGTGGACTTATAACTTCGCTTCATGTTCTTGTTGAAATTGATCGGTGATCAATTTACCTGATAATCGTATCCTTACATCATTTTTTATTTCGATTGCTAAAAATTTGATATCTGTGCTATTAGGACGATTTTACTCCAGCCGAACTTAAGATTTTTGAACGAATGGTTATTTATGAAGTTGCGCAAGAATTTGTTCATTTCTATATCACTTACTATTTTTGTTTGCTTCTTTCTCAATAATTGGTAATTGATTGTGCTCAATCCAATTTTCGGGCATTCGAAATTCACGAGATATAATCTTCAAACGGAGTTAGTAGTGGATAAGATTACATGGCATATTGAAGTGTGAGTCCCGATTGGTTTTTCATTTGTTCTTCTTCGAGTAAACGGATGAGATTACATGGCATATAATTGGACATTGGTAGAAACCTAGAATACAACCATTACTGGATTGTCACGCGCACCTGTAGATGAGCGCTACTTTCATGGTCCGAGTAAGGTATTCTAAATAAATTTCTCTGTAAAGACTTCCACGTCTTCTATTTAAAAATGATGTGAATGGTTTGAGTAATTCTTTCATGAAAATTATCGGGCTCATAGGTTGAAAGTCTGACGTGCTGTAATCTCTATTGAACCTGGAATCTCACATCCGGATAGAGAAATTAATAAATACACCTTGGCTTTGTGTCGGTCGCTAGTTTTATATGAATGATTCGGACTTGAGCTTGAAATGACTAATTCTAATCTTGTTAATCACGTGTCATACAGGAATTTACAAGTGGATACTAACTTATTTGTGATGGTTGGAAGCTGTGTTACTAAATGATGTTCTTTTCTTACCGCTATGTTGTTTGTGCTGTCCTGGTTTGGGCTTCATCTCCTTGTTTTCTTATTGATCCACTGTCTTACCTCTTCCTCTGTTCAATTTGCTGGCTGGAAAATGAAGCCTGGCCATCAAGGGTCGGGGTGCTCTTGATTTTTTATCAAAACCTCTTACACAGACGAATCCTGCATATTATATTGAATACATTTGAGTGAAAATAGATGTTTTCAAAATCTATCTTTTCGGCTGGGTATTCAGATAGGCTAGACACAATAGCTCATATATCATGTAGATGACCGTTCAATTGAAAAATTCTACGTGCCGCATGTTGGCCAAAGGATAGAAGAATGAGAAGGTTGCAAGATTTATGATAATTGTTTAATGTTTACTCTAAGTAATTGGTTGGTGCGAACACTGGACCAGTAAATCCTAATATTTTGTACTGTTACCAGCATTCTCACATTTTTAACCTTGTATTTTGTTTTATACATGTTACACTTGTTCATATATCATCTGCAATCATATATTTGTTATATAGAAAACTACATTACTTTTTTTCAATGGCGCAATATAGATAATAGGACAGCAGGTTAATTTAAGAATAGGTACCTCTCCAGAAACAGTGTTGGATGCCTTGTGTCGATAATCCTGGTGGACAAGAAAAGCTGTTAGTATATAATCAATCACACTATAAGAGGTATATGTTCTATGAGTAACCTTTGAATATCGTTGGTATGGAGGTTCCAAAATACACGGTGCGTCTGGGAAGATTCCATATCCAGTCCCTTGGAACATCTATTGGGTTGAGGCTTGACTCGTGATCTGCAAACACCTACAAAGGAAATAATTATAGTTAGTTGTGGCACCAAGCCTCGAAAGAAAACATGGTGTAAACAGTATTCAACTTTACCTCATTGACTTGAAAGTAGGTACCATTCAGTGGAAAGCTTCCTCTCATTGCTGTCCGGCATGGTATCTGTTTTTTTTTTTTTTTTT